TAGAGAACATGTTACATTTGTTGATGCACCACAAACATGTAGGTCCACTGCAGGTGCAATAGGTCAATTTACTGTTGACATCCCACAATTTATTACTGGCCTACTGTGTTCAACCTTTTTTTTCTTTATTGCTTTTTTATAAGAACATTTCAGCTTTAAAAAATCTAATATCATAGAGGTTTCTTCCTTTTTTTCATAGAAAATATTTTTATAAAATCATATACAATTATATTACATGTACATATGATCCTCTGGCTTTTGTTTTGTTGAACATAAAGGACATTTTGTTATTTTGTTGCACAAGATGTTATAGAATATGCATTTAAACAACAAACATAGGTTAACACAGCGTTGCAAAATAAGGATACACATACTAAATATACATAAATTAAATACATGCATCAATACATTACAGTGCCATGCGTACACAGTCATTTTGGGAAGTCAATGATTTCAATTGGCATTTTGTCCCCATTATATTAAACGTTCATACCTTCTTACTGTACATACATGACATGGCTTTTACAAAACGCAGTGACACCAACAGCTGCAGTTGTTGTAGCTAGCATATACCTCTCACTTTGGAGTAACTATGTCTGGTTAAAAGTTATGAGATTCTCTCTTGCTATTTAGGCTTTAACGCTTAGGATTAATCATCACCACAGATAAGAGATTTGAGAATGAAATGAGGAATTTACCTTGTCAACATTTTTTACATGAGAGATTCATTCTTTGCTAACTTTGAGACAAAATGACCGTCTCTAGTCTTTTGTGAGGAGGGAGATTTCTTGCATGAGGGAGACGACCCTTTTCATCCCATTTATTTCACTGAAGGAGGAGTGGGAAATCCCATGAGCAGGTAAAGGCATCATCTTGATAACTTAAGAGCATCTGCTAAATGACTTAAATGTAAACAAATGTGGGGCTCAAAACAGGCTTCCACCCTCACACCGGCAGGGATCAGACTGCGTGCATACACCGGGGAGACCATACCATTGCTGGGGGCTCTAGAGGTGGACATTGCATCTGGCGATCCAAAAGCAGAAGTCAAAGAGTTGATTGGTGCTGCTTTGGTGGAGGAGGAAATCCTTCTGGAGAGGGAGGTTGATGAAATGGGTCCTACAGGTGGTAGAGTACATCCCGTAGACGTGCAACTAAGGGAGTTAGAACTAAAGGCAAAGTTGGAGCAACAAAATGTTTTGCTCGAGCACAGGGAAAGAGAACGAGAGCATGCAGCCAGACTAGAACAAAAAGAAAGTGTGCATACCATTCGATTGAAAGAGATGGAGCTGGAAGTACTCCGAATCCAATCAGGCCATCCTACACCCTCAACATAGTTTGATCTTGGTCAGAACAGCCGACTTGTACCGCCTTTCAATGATAAGGAGGTGGATTTATATTTGACTCTGTTTGAGAGGATTGCCACCTTCTTCCCCTCTTACCTTTTTTCTTCTTTATCTTCCTATTTTTGTACTTATCTTTATTTTGTTATTGTTTTGCATTACAGTGCCTCAGTCCTTACTGTTTTATTTTTTTTGTTAAATTGACAAGAAATAGTAATGAATGCTCATGAAATTTGTTATGGTGTGCATACATGGGGTTTATCTGAGGGTACCCTCAACAGCAAAGTTTTTTTGCATCTTTGAAATTGGCCACTAGTGTGAACATAAACATTACTGTCAATAACTTAATAAAAACAAAAATAATATAACATCTGATCGACTTGGAATAAAACAAGTTATGGATATAACCAGATGAATTTTTTGAAACATTAAAACAGTAGAAAAAGTTGTTTTATTTGAATCCAAAGACAGGCATGGGCTTAATGGGTATGTGAGCTCAATAGATATGCTTACCCTAATCTTTGGCTACAGCAAAGATGGTGGATAAATTAAGATTGTTTACTCAGGCCGATTACCATTGAAAAAAAGTATGTCACAGTTTACGGGGTGGGTCTCCCATAGACACTACTGCAATAGCAGCTGGGTCTGGTCTACTTAGTTCATTGACTTTCATTGAACCACAAAGAAACTGCCAAGTGGGGTGTCTCACTTCCACCTCTGGCTACAGCTTTTCGCCGTAGCCTACACCATAACCTACATAGGTTGTGAAAATTAATGTTTTTACACCTCCCTGTTTTGGGGCAGAAAATTATCATAATCCATTGGATAATTTGTCAAATCTCACTTATTTTGAGCTAGTCTGCATTAAACAATATATATGACCATCTAATAAATATTAAAACTGCGTGATGACGACTGCATTTTAGAAACCCGCTCCCCCCAAGACTAATAGTTTTGACCACTACATTTTTGGCAAAATTTGTTTTGCATGGCCCGGTGCCCCGGGTTTGCTCATTTTCGACCATTCCATTGATCCTAAAGAGAAATCTCCATCCACCTGGGTCACCGGCCATGCAAAACGAACTCGCCCATTGTTTTAATATTTAGGCTATCCATATTACCGGAGCTAAAATTCTTTCCATTTCTATGGCGGATTCCCGGCCACAATTTAGATAAAGCATTGATATATTGCTAGCTTGCTGAAATGAGAGAGAACAAATAAAGCTATTTGATCATGTCTGTGTGCATGTCCAAATATTCATGACGTCTGGAATCTGACAGTTTCACTGGAATTAACGAACAGCAACAGTCAGACAAGCGTCAACATCTTGTATAGGCATGGTTTGGCTGAAACTCATCTCTTGACAGGTAGTCTTTTTCTGAAATAATTATATTCACCTGACTTACAGTATGCCTGTCTTAAATGAAATGGTGCTCATATCATTTTCAATTAGCTAGCTACGGTTAGCATACTAGCTAGTTCCAATGACAACAGTCAGTCAAATTGTATTTGTCACAAGCGTCGAATACAACAGGTGTAGAGCTTACAGTGAAATGCTTACTTACAAGCCCTTAACCAAAAATGCAGTTCAGAAAAATAAGTGTTTAGTAAACAATAGATAAGTAAAAAATGAAAGCAGTAAAATAACAGTAAAAATAACAGTAGCGAGGCTATATACAGGGGGTACCGGTACAGCGTCAATGTGCGGGGGCACCGGTTATTTGAGGTAATATGTACATGTAGGTATAGTTAAAGTGACTATGCATAGACAATAAACAGAGTAGCAGCAGCATAAAAGATGGAGTGGGGGGGGGGGAAAATGCAAATATGTCCATGTAGCCATTTGATTAGCTGTTCAGGAGTCTTATGGCTTGGGGGTAGAAGCTGTTAAGAAGCCTTTTGGACCTAGACTTGGCACTCCAGTACCGCTTGCCGTGCGGTAGCAGAGAGAACAGTCTATGACTAAGGTGGCTGGAGTCTGACAATTTTTAGGGCCTTCCTCTGACACCGCCTAGTGAGGTCCTGGATGGCAGGAAGCTTGGCCCCAGTGATGTACTGGGCCGTACGCATTACCCTCTATAGTGCCTTGCGGTCGGAGGCCGAGCAGTTGCCATACCAGGCGGTGATGTGACCAGTCAGGATGCTCTCGATGGTGCAGCTGTATAACTTTTTGAGGATCTGAGGACCCACGCCAAATCTTTTCAGTCTCCTGAGCGGGAATAGGCCTTGTCGTGCCCTCTTCACGACTGTCTTGGTGTGTTTCAACCATTATAATTTGTTGGTGATGTGGACACCAAGGAACTTGAAGCTCTCAACCTGTTCCACTACAGCCACGTCGATGAGAATGGGGGCGTGCTCAGTCCTCTTTTTCTTCCTGTAGTCCACAATCATCTCCTTTGTCACGTTGAGTGAGAGGTTGTTATCTTGGCACCACATAGCCAGGTCTCTGACCTCCTCCCTATAGGCTGTCTCACCGTTATCGGTGATCAGGCCTACCACTGTTGTGTGATTGGCAAACGTAATGATTGTGGTCCTCTGTAGCTCAATTGGTAGAGCATGGCGCTTGTAACGCCAGGGTAGTGGGTTCGATCCCCGGGACCACCCATACGTAAAAATGTATGCACACATGTCTGTAAGTCGCTTTGGATAAAAGCGTCTGCTAAATGGCATATTATTACATTTACATTTACATTTTAGTCATTTAGCAGACGCTCTTATCCAGAGCGACTTACAGGAGCAATTAGGGTTAAGTGCCTTGCTCAAGGGCACATTAACGTCATTTAGCAGACGCTCTTAGCCATTATCATGGTGTTGGAGTCGTGCCTGGCCATGCAGTCGTGGGTGAACAGGGAGTACAGGAGGGGACTAAGCACGCACCCCTGAGGGGCCCCCGTGTTGAGGATAAGTGTGGTAAATGTGTTGTTACCTACCCTTACCACCTGGGAGTGGCCCGTCAGGAAGTCCAGGATCCAGTTGCAGAGGGAGGTGTTTAGTCCCAGGGTCCTTAGCTTAGTGATGAGCTTGAGGGCACTATGGTGTTGAACGCTGAGCTGTAGTCAATGAATAGCATTCTCACGTAGGTGTTCCTTTTGTCCAGGTGGGAAAGGGCAGTGTGGAGTGCAATAGAGATTGCATCATCTGTGGATCTGTTGGGGCGGTATGCAAACTGGAGTTGGTCTATGGTTTCTGGGATAATGGTGTTTATGTGAGCCATGACCAGCCTTTCAAACCACTTTATGGCTACAGACGTGAGTGCTACGGGTCTGTAGTAATTTAGGCAGGTTACCTTAGTGTTCTCGGGCACAGGGACTATGGTGGTCTGCTTAAAACATGTTGGTATTACAGACTCAGTCAGGGACAGGTTGAAAATGTCAGTGAAGACACTTGCCAGTTGGTCGCAAAGAAACCCTCCACCGTTTGCAATGGGATATAATGTTTGTGGAAGATATAGGTAACGAAACGAGAAGCAATAGGCTATCATGGACAACTATTGGAACTTCAGCTCTAATAACTGGATGAATAGCTATGACTGTCATGCATATTCTCTCACCGTTTCTTGTATAGTGCTGGTTCATCTATGGGAATCATTGATATATGTCTGATAGCCTATCATCTTTAATGCACATTGAATGTGAGAGCATATAATGTAGATGTATTTACCTGTACCACTCCAGTCCATTCTCGTAGTTACGGTCGAAGAAGTGCGGCTCCGCTCCCACAGCTCTGATGTCTGGATGCACGCGGAGGAACTCGAGCAGCGCGCGCGTCCCTCCTTTCTTTACCCCAATGATGATCGCCTGCGGCAGCTTCTTGCTCCCTGAGCCGTTGGAGAAACTTGACATCGCACCCGGCTCAGGAGCACTCTGCCCCTCGCCCCTCATCTCGTCCCAGTCCTCTGCTCCTCTGTACGCGTCTATATCGTTATTGAGCAAGTCTCTGGAGGAGGTCCGGACAGAGGGTTCGTCATAATCGGATTCTATATCCACCCAGGGTTGGGGTCTAGGGAGCAGTCAGGTCCACTCTGCCGTTATTCTCTATCCTTTTACCGACCACGGACCCTGTCTCCTTTCCCCGGTAATTGTCCACGACCAAACTTGGCATGGTGGCACAGTAGCCCACGCAGGAGTAGAGCATATATACCCAGAGTAAAAACATGATGCAGAGCAGAAAGAGTTTATTTTTCACCGGGCTGAATGAGATCGCATACAGATTGTGACAAACCAGGCTATATTCCATAAGCTTTGCGATTGCATAACATATTCCAGCGACACATAAAGGCCAAAAGCACTCACTCCCAATGGCACCTCAAGTAGCCTCGCAAAATGCACATGCCATTCACCTAAAACGAAAAAATTAATAAAGCAAGCAAATAAACTAAAGCGGATGATGCATCCACGGGTGCAAAGTCATTGCATGCTATAATAGTTATTCACCAGAGCCACAGGAATAATTCGGAAATTGATTCGAACGACTGGTGCACTTCAGTGGTGCTACTCCAAACACCAGCGGTCTCTCTCCACACGCATCACCGTTGCCAACCCTTCGAACATCTGCTAGTTTTGAGGCTTCTCTCGACGACTAGACCTTTTACAGAGCGAGGGGCGTACCGATACGTCTGATTGACAATCACCATGGCCAATTGACGCACGCACGCAAGCTAAATAATTAGTTGTTGTTGATAAAAACGGACCTATCACAGGAGAATGTGGGAGGGCGCTCGCGTTGGGATCCTCGCCATAGAGATGAAACGCTCTTATTGGATGAAGAGATAAACGGGATTCTATATAATCACTAGGGAAATTCTATAGTTAAAACTGTATTTTTAATGAGGCAGCTGCGAAGTCCACCCGCTGTGCTATTCCCATTTTTATCTTAGCGCATTATTTAATATGTATACTAACTAACACATTGGATTGGGTAGGGGGCTCTTTTCTGATTCTGTGTCATATAGCCTTAGGCCTACGACATTACATTATTTATTATGCATATCACTGAAGCGCATACTTTTGAAGTTATAGGCCTATTTATGACCTATCTGGTCATCTCAAACTCATTATGAATAAATATAATTTTTGCTCGTAGAGATCTTCTGCATTGCCAAATATATGGGGCCCTTGATTGTGCTAAGCACGGTATACAGGCTGCATTATAAGTTAACTATTTTCTTCCATATTTTCAAGGAGAACAAATATTTTGGATTATTGTGCTTTTCAAGAAAGCTACATCGAGATATAGGCTACAAATGAGTATTCATAACAAAAAGTAGTTTTAACAATGTCGTTTGTTTGTTTTAGCAGAGAACTTGGAGATTTTCTGGAGAAATAAAATCTAAATTTGTCTGTCATAGTTGACGTGTACCTATGATGAAAATTACAGGCCTCTCTCATCTTTTTAAGTGGGAGAACTTGCACAATTGGTGGCTGACTAAATACTTTTTTCCCCCACTGTATACAGGGTTAGTCCAGTAGCCTGTGATGGTTAGTGTATGGACTCATGCCATATTTATACTGTATTCCTAGTCGACTAAAGTCTTTCTTTGTTTGCTGAAATTAATACTTTTTAAATAAACGTTAATCAAATACCACCACCAACTGTTTCCTTGTTGAGATTCAATGTGCACATGCGCTGTTGCCATCTTAGAGCAACAGTAATGAGCAAACAGTCGGTGGTTGTATTTGATTAAAGTTTATTGAAAGAAAACAAAGAAAGCCTTTATTGATGCGTCCAAGCTGAATCTGGTTGTGAGGTCAGATGTTAGTGCTCCACCTCTTTTTAGGGGTGATGGCTCAGATAAGTACTCTGTCCTGGAGTGGGAGGAGTTAATGGAAGTCTACCTAGAGAAGAGGGGTTACACTGGGTCTGGGAATGTTGGGGAGGTGATGTCTAGGCTCATGGGGAGGGCACGGGATGTGACCAAAGTCTGGAAGCGTAACAACCTTGTTGTCACAGATGTTAAGGCGGTGTTCAGTGTTTTCAAGCAACACTTTGGGGATACTGTCTGCTCAGGTATGCCATTAGCTGATTTCTATTCAATCAAACCATATGCTAATGAGGGTCCAATAGATTTCTGGATTAGGCTTAACAAAGCTGCAGAGGCAGCCGAACAGTACCTTGTGAGTGAGGGCAGGACCTTACCCAATCAGTGCTCAGAGTTGGCAGTCATGTTTGTACGCAACTGTCCTGATAAAGAGTTGGCCCAAGTGTTCAAGAGCAAACCCATTCGTGACTGGACAGCCAGTGAGGTACAGGATCGGTTGGATGAACTGTTAAGGGAACGTAAAGCATGTAGAACACAACTTTCACAGAAGGTTGCTGCTGTTTTTGACTGCCCTCAGGAGGGAGTGGGTCCTGTGAAAAGACCTAATGTGTCATCTTTTTCTCAATGTGGCCGTGAACCAGACCAGGCACCATCTGTATCTGAGGGTGGGACATTAAAGAAAGTTTTGACTTTGTTAGAGAAGGCTCTGGTCAGCAATACTCAGCAATACTCAGTCTGTGAGTGGCGCAGTGGTCTAAGGCACTCCATCGCAGTGCTAGCTGTGCCACTAGAGATCCTGGTTTGAATCCAGGCTCTTGTCGTAGCCGGCCGCGACCGGGAGACCCATGGGCCATTCCTCTGTATCGGACACTACTGGGACGACTGGCGAGGACGCGCTCTCGCATAGTCCTCTCTGCGCGCTCCCGTGCAACCTTCAGTTCCAGTAGTTTCCTCCGCAATACCCTGTTTTCTTTCTGGCTTTGAGTTATTTCCAAACGAAAAACTGCATAGTCGTCGTCTACGAGTTTACAGATCTCTACCACGGCTGCATTCGCTAGCACCTCCATGGGAAACATTATGCTTTGGGGCTGTTTTCCTGCTAAGGGGACAGGACAACTTCACCGCATCAAAGGGACGATGGATGGGGCCATGTACCGTCAAATCTTGGGTGAGAACCTCCTTCCCTCAGCCAGGGCATTGAAAATGGGTCGTGGATGGATATTCCAGCATGACAATGACCCAAAACACATGGGCAAGGCAACAAAGGAGTGGCTCAAGAGTGCAAACATGGGACATCTGGAGAGACTTACGCCATGTTCTTTGGACATGTGTGAGAAAATAAATGTGGTAAGTGCATCAAATAGGTTCTCTGAACCTACTGCAACCTGCAGAGAGATACCAATGGAGGACAGTTAGAGGAAGATGGTCTCAAGACCTTAACAATACCTTTATCTGTCAATTTCCTTTGGAGCTTTTCACATAAACTCTAGACTACTGTGTAGTAATTGACAGATCAGGAGGTCAAAAAGTTTTAGGCAGGTGGACACGGACGATAATACTTCCCGTACTGGATCGTCTCTCCCTCTCTGCGCTCCACTGAATGTTTTCAGGTGGGATGCTAACATTTATCCAACTGGGTTTGCTTTCGTAGAAGGGATGTGAGTGGAGGAAAAAATAAGCCAAATTCAGTGAGCCAGCTGTGTTTGGAAAAGGAAACTATTTTTTTAAACTGGAGTTGCACACAGTCCATTTGGCCGCGCCAACGTTCTTCTCATCTTTCCCCTTATTGGCTTCTTTTCACTATACAATTTATCCTTTAACTTTCATCTTACTTCAATGAAAAAGGCCTTCATCTTCGCAAGACTCCTCTCACTTGCTCTCTCTCTCCTCAGCAGCAGGTGCATGTGAGGTGAGTGGCCAGAACCAGTTTCAGCTGGACATAAACTATGCGTTTTTTTGAGTTGCAATTAACTGACACAGATAACAAGCTTGCACAGTTCTCATCACGTCACACATTAAATGAACAGAGGACGGGTCCAATCGGGTCCAGTTGGTAAATCAATTTAATTGCACATACCCGAGACCCGTGGCAATATACCAGACTCGACCCAGATCCGAGACAAAGTCTTAATTTAGGACCCAGACCCGCTCAGTTCCCGGATCAGATCTCAGAATGTCAGTCTGTTGAACCCCTGAAGATCTCTACACAGCATTTATTGCACTTACACTAGGGGCCACATTGTCACCTGACATTCCTCTGTCCTTGGCACATAATTAATCAATTAGCATGATTGATTGGATTAAGTCTGTAGCTGGTGCTCCTCCCTCCCTCCCTCCTCCTCTCTCTCCAGGGCAGAACATCAGAGATATTACAGGAATGCAGCTTAACAGTTGGGACCCAGGGTTAGGGAGTTCTCTCTCTGTGTGAGTGTGTCCTCCACATCTGGGCCTGGGCCAGTGCTGTGTGTTGTGTTGAGCGGAGCTCCTATTACCTGACCCCTGACCTCTGATCATATCTCATACTGCCTGTCAGTCCCAGGACTCCCTTCTAAGACACTTTGCCCTGCTGTGTGCTACAGCTTTTTACAGCGTCCAGGGCTAAAGGACCAATAACACACACTGTGGGAGAAATACCCAGACCCAGACCCCCCCCCCCCTCCCCTAACCCAGTCTAACCCTAACCCAGTCTAATCTTAACCCTAACCCAGTCTAACTCTAACCCAGTCTAACCCTAACCCAGTCTAACTCTAACCCAGTCTAACCCTAACCCAGTCTAACCCTAACCCAGTCTAACTCTAACCCAGTCTAACTCTAACCCAGTCTAACTCTAACCCAGTCTAACTCTAACCCAGTCTAACCCAGTCTAACCCAGTCTAACCCTAACCCAGTCTAACTCTAACCCAGTCTAACCCAGTCTAACTCTAACCCAGTCTAACTCTAACCCAGTCTAACTCTAACCCAGTCTAACCCAGTCTAACTCTAACCCAGTCTAACTCTAACCCAGTCTAACTAACCCAGTCTAACCTAACTCACACATCTAACCCGTCTAACTTACCATCAACTCAGTCTACTCTAACTCAACTCTGATCCGCTGATGTCTCAGGAGTGTGTCTCACCATTGTCTGCTGATGTCATCAGGAGGTAGTGTTTCTCAGGGCTCATGGATGGGTCTGCTGATGTCATCAGGAGGTAGTGTTTCTCAGGGCTCATGGATGGGTCTGCTGATGTCATCAGGAGGTAGTGTTTCTCAGGGCTCATGGATGGGTCTGCTGATGACGGCATTCTGAGTTTAGGCTGTTAGTGTAACAGTGTTGCTTCCATCCCTGTCCTCGCCCCTACCTGGGCTTGAACCAGGGACCCTCTGCACACATTATTT